ATGAAAAGATGAAAAGATGAAAAGATGAAAAGATGAAAAGATGAAAAGATGAAAAGATGAAAAAATATAAATATAGCAAAAAGAGGACGGAAGAAGGAAGCGGAAGGGAAGAGGAGGAGGAAAGGGAGTATGTGATTATAGGTGGCTGATTATAGGTAGCTGATTACATAGCTGGTTAGCTAGCTGGACAAGATGGGATGGGAATAGACAGAGTAGACAGAATCGACAGAATCGACAAAATCGACAAAATCGACAAAATCGACAAAATCGACAGAATCGACAAAATATACCTACCTACCTACCTACCTACCTACCAACCAACCATCTGTACATCATTCATCTCCGTCACTTAAATTCATCAGCTTATTTTCGTTTTATACCTTTTTTTTTTTGTTTTTCGTTTCTTCATTTCCCGCTTCGACTTCGTCGCGTCTTCTTTCTCGTCTTTTGCTTGATACGATAACTTGCTTGCTTGATACCTTGCTTGCTTGATACCTTGCTTGATACGATACCTACTTACGGACCCATCTCGTCTGAACGACCGAGGTGCATATGCTATTATGTATCTATAGAGGTATGCGTGTATGTACAGTGAATCGAAAGAAAAAAAAAACAAACTCGAACCATATGACCTGATATTGCATTACCTGTTCTGGTCTGCCTGCCGTGCCTATCTATCTATCTGCTGAGAGAACGCCATGCCCATGGTATCTTTCTTTCCCATTACGCTTTCGCTTTCGCACATTACCAGAGTTCCCAGTCTTTCCTTACATATGTATCTTACATCATCTGCATCTCGTCCTCATCCGTATACACATCGCCCTCCTCTTCTTCTTCCTTCTCCTTCTCTTCCACCTTCAAGAACGGATGCTCAAGCGCCTCCTTGGCGCTGATCCTCCGATTGGGATCCAGCTCGAAGCAGCGCTCCAGGAATCTGACCGCGAGCATCTCCTCTGCCGTCAACGGGTCCTCGGCGCCGTTCTTGCCGCCGTCGTTCCGGCACGTTGACCACAGGATGATCTTCTCCAGCGTGAAGCCCGCGTTCCCGATCGTCGGGATGTTGCTCTCAAAGACGACGCCGTGCAGGTAGGCGCACGACTTCATGCGCTTGATACCGAAGATGGTGGCAATCTCAATCGTGGCCTCGACGTCGTCCGCCGAGTTGAAGAACGGGAAGCGCCGCGAGAGGATGGTGAGCAAGATCACGCCCGCGGACCAGATGTCGATCTTGGTGCTCTGCTCGGTGCATTTGAAGAGGACTTCGGGCGCTCTGAAGCCGCGGGTTCCGGCGCGGTTAGCCCGGCGGGAGGGTCGTGTGTCGTTCTTTGGGTAGCCACTCGAGGGCCCGGCGTTGGCTGCTACGCTGTTGTGGATGCGCCGTTTGCGCTCGTTGGGGTGCTCTTGACATAGGCACGGTTTGGCGTCTGTGCCTTCGCGTTCTGCTAACCCGAAGTCGACGAGTACGCCGCGTTTCTTGTCGGGCTCGTAGAGGAAGTTCGTGGGCTTGATGTCCCGGTGGATGATGCCCTTGGAGTGTACGGCTGCTAGGGACTGGAAGAGAGAGCGGAAGTAGATCTGCATGTCTGGGACCGTCATCTTGCGGAAGTACTCGCGGAAATCAGTGTGTCGGAAGTATGGGAGCACGGCGACGACTTGGTCGGTGGAGCGGAAGGCGGTGATGAGAGGGCACACCGAGTCGAAGCCGCGGAGGTTGTTGAGAAGCTCGAGTTCGTTGAGGATTCGGGAAGGACTGCTGGTTACGTAGATCTTCTTGATGGCTACATATTTGGGTCGCCGGCGCTGCTGGCCGTAATCGTCCATCTCTGACATGGGTTGCATCCGACGTTCCTTCTTCAGAGGCGGTGATGTCGATCGGGGGGTTTCCTTCTCCTCAATGTCCCATTCATTCCTGTAATTCTCGTATTCAAGATCCTCGGCCTTGTATACTGTGGAAAACGTCCCTGCGGCGCGTTAGTATTTATGCATACAAGCCTTGACATGTAACATACCCTCTCCAATACGATTTATCAGTCGATATCGGTTCTTGATTCCTTTGCTTTCCTGGATCTTGTTCATATCCTCCTGCACAACCGGGTCCACTGCCCCGTCGCTCTCTTCAGACGTGTCTGAATATGCATCATCGTGCTCTTCGGGCTCCTCTATCCTCGAATCGTCCATGCCGTGTTCCTCGTCGTCTACAGACTCGTCGCCATCCATCGGGTCGTGGTGTATCGAGAAGGATTTCGCATTTCCATTTCTGTGCTGGCGAATAATAGTCGCCATTGTGTTGTTGCTCGCAAGCGGCAACGAAATCCAGAGGTACAATCAAGCTTCCAACAAGCCGAGTTCGAGGGTCGAGAAATTTTCCTTTCGTTGTTTTGGTTGTTTGGGATGTTTTGGTCAGGATACAGCTTCCCGCGGCGCATTCGTGGTGGGGTCAACACCGGACCGGTCAGACTAGCCCGAAGGAGACGCGAAGAAAACAAAAACGCGGTTTCCCTGCCGCCGAATGTCAATACCAAGATCCGGCACTTTGCGCCGTCAACATCCACAACCACGACGACGACGAAAACAAAATTACAAACCTGAATGTCTGTCTGGATTTGCGTCGCAGAACCCGCGCATATACTGCCATCATGGACACCATAAACTTCGATATCAACGATGCCCTCAAACACTACATGAGCGACCCTGCGACCGTCGCAACGCCCGAAGCAGACTCCAATCTCGTCGACTGCGAGAACGACCCTGAAGCCCTCACTAACCCCCTCATAAACACAGTCCTCAACCCGATCGTCGACTCCGTGGCCGAGAATCCAGATGCCATCACGCGAAGCTTCAACTTCGACTCCCTACAGTTCCTACTCAAGTGTGCCCCCATTTCTCTTCCCTCATCCCAGAACTATATATCAGAACCGGACTCTGAACTCTTCAAACTCTCTAGATCCGCTTCGGTTCTCCCCACACATGCCCTCTCCAAGATCCTCGACCTCATCGTGTCTGGCCTGTCCACAGAGGCGGACGTCATTCACAATGATCTCGAGTCGGACGAGCAGGAGCTGATCTCGCACCACAAACAGCTGCTGGAAGCCTTTGGCTTTTTGTTGCAGTGGACGATCGCGGCAGTCGAGACCAAGGCCGCAGAGAAATCTAGCTCGGCGCCGGCTGCCAGAAGCAGAGGGAAGGGTGCTAAAGCCAAGACGGCTGGGAAGGATAAGGATGGCAACTGGGATTCTAGTGCGCAATTGCAGACTGCTCTGGACACTATGTGCAAGGTCCTGAAGTTGAAGCTATCCAAGATTTTCTTGACAACTTCTGAGCGGGATACCTTTGTCAGTTTATTTACGAGGCCTGTGTACATGGTCCTGGAGAGCGAGCAGAGAGTCAAGAATACTGCGATCCGGATGCACGCTTTCAAGGTTTTGTGTATAGCTGTCAAACACCACGGGCATGGCTACGGTAAGAGCAGACGTTTCTTCTGCCAGAGGTTCAGGGCTAATAAATTCTAGCTGCGCAAATATCTATTGTCCAGAACTTGACATACTTCGAGCATCTTGCGGAGCCTATGGCGGAGTTCCTCCACATACTCTCAGAGCAATACGATTACCCGCAACTTGCTGACGAGATTCTCCGGGAGCTAAGTAACAAGGAATTCAACAGCAATGATACCAGAGGTCCCAAGTCAGTCTCGGCGTTCATCGTCAAGCTCTCGGAGCTGGCTCCCAGACTAGTCATCAAGCAAATGACAATGTTGGCGAAGCAACTGGATAGCGAGTCCTATGCCCTCCGATGTGCTCTTATCGAGGTTTGTGGGAACCTGGTAGCTGATCTCAGCAAGCAAGAAGAGCGTAGCGATAACTACAAATCACAACTGAATGCCTTCTTTGACGTGTTGGAGGAGAGATTCTTGGACATCAACCCGTACTGTCGATGCAGAACGATTCAAGTATACATCAAGCTTTGCGATCTCGACCAGAAGTTCCCAAAGAGAAGACAGAAGGCTGCAGAGCTGGCCGCGAGAAGCTTGGAGGACAAGAGTAGTAATGTTCGTCGAAATGCGGTAAAGCTACTCGGAACGCTCATCAAAACCCACCCTTTTAGCATTATGCACGGATCCCAATTATCGCTAAAAGAGTGGAATGCTCGACTGGATGCTGTAGATGCTGAGTTGAATGCATTGAAGCCTCCGGCAGAGACACCGGGACTTGTCGACGGTACCAAGGCCAACGAGACAATCGATACTGCCTTGCTTGATGATGCTACTGTTCTTCCCTCGGATTCGCCTCAAAAGCCAATGAGTGACGAACAGAAGATGGCAGCTATGAAGAAAGCTCAAGAGGATGCTGCTACTTCAGAGGCGATCAATAAGCTTACCTTGACCAGACGATACTATGTCGAGGCACTGAAGTTTATCGAGGTCTTGCACGGAGCGACTACCATCATCTGCCAACTTCTAGGGTCCAAGAACAAGAGTGAAGTTATCGAGGCTATGGAGTACTTCGAGATTGGCGATGCTTACAACATCGAGCAAAACAAGTTGGGTATTCGCCGTATGCTGAGACTGATCTGGACCAAGGGTAACAGCGACGAAGGAAAGGGTGTCCAGAATCATCTTATCGAGTGCTACAAGCGCCTCTTTTTTGAAGCTCCTGACTCTTATAGCGCTAACGACGCGGCTAACTACATTGCTCGGAACATGATCAGTTTGACATTTGGTGCGACTCCAGCAGAGCTGACTTCGCTGGAGCAGCTTCTGAGCACCATGATGAAGGCCAACCATGTCTCGGAGCTTGTTGTACAGAAGCTGTGGCAAGTGTACGGTGTGCAGAAGCGAGAGATCTCGAAAAGTCAAAGACGAGGTGCCATCATTGTTCTTGGGATGTTGGCAACCGCCAAACCCGAGATTGTGGTCGGGGAGATGGAGTCTATGCTACGAATAGGTCTGGGAAGCCTGGGCCGATCAGATCTTCAACTAGCAAAGTATACCTGCATAGCACTCCGACGTATCAACCCATCTGGTCGACAAGCGAAAGAGATCGCGGTACAGCCTTCGAAGCTCACCAATGATCATGCTGTCCTCCTGAAGCTTGGAGCCATCGTTGAAATCGAATCCGATCAAAAGGAATGGTATGGTGTTGCTGAACAAGCCATCAATGCTATCTACACTTTGTCGAGACATCCGGACACACTATGTTCCGAGATCTTGCGAAGGAAGACGAAGTATGTCTTCCAGAAACGTACTGAGAAGACTCCAGAGCCGGAGGAACCGCAACGCGAGGATACGCAAATGTTGTCACCACCACCAGAAGCGCCTGCAGAGCCAGAGCCCAAACTCAAGGGGTCCATCGCTCTCTCACAGCTACTCTTCATCGTAGGCCATGTTGCTATCAAGCAAATTGTTCATCTGGAACTCTGCGAACTCGACTTCAAGCGCCGGAAGGCAGAGGCCGAGAAGAACAAACCAGCATCCGATGCTCCAATCGACAAAGCTGCAAAGGAAGCTGCTGATGATCTCGACGCGATTGGCGGTACAACAGAGGATGATTTCACAGAGGCTATGTCTCACATCCGTGAGCGTGAGCTGCTATACGGTGAGAACTCGCTTCTTGCCAACTTTGGCCCTCTCGTCTCTGAGATATGCTCGAACAACACTACGTACCGAGACCGCAACCTTCAAGCGGCAGCTACTCTCTGCTTGGCAAAGCTCATGTGCGTCAGCTCCGAATATTGCGAGAACAACCTGCCTCTTCTCATCACCATCCTCGAGCGCTCCAAGGACCCCATCACACGCTCCAACGTCGTCATCGCCCTAGGCGACATGGCCGTCTGCTTCAACCACCTCATCGACGAAAATACCGACTTCCTCTACCGCCGCCTGAATGATAAAGACGCCAGCGTCAAACGCACCTGTCTCATGACCCTTACGTTCCTCATATTGGCAGGTCAGGTCAAAGTTAAAGGTCAACTGGGCGAGATGGCTAAATGCCTTGAGGACGACGACAAGAGAATTGCGGATCTCAGTCGTATGTTCTTTACGGAGTTGAGCACGAAGGATAATGCGGTGTACAATCACTTTGTGGATATGTTTAGTCTGTTGAGTGCGGAGAAGGAGTTAGGGGAGGACTCGCTCAAAAGGATTATCAAGTTCTTGGCCGGGTTCATTGAAAAGGTACGCTCTTCCCTTGCCACCACTTATTCCTTTTTCTCGCATCATCATAATGGAATACTGATTTCCAAAAAGGACAAACACGCGAAGCAACTCGCAGATAAACTCGCCGCCCGACTCGCCCGCTGTGAGACCGAGCGTCAATGGAACGATGTTGCGTACGCTTTGAGCTTGCTGCAACACAAGAACGAGGACATCACCAAGCTAGTCAGCAGTGGCTTTAGGGTTGTGCAGGGGAGTGCTTGAACTTGAAGAAATCATGGAGTGTATAATGAAGATGAACGATGTAATGCACATAAATGGTTGGTAGGCTGGGCTGGGGGAAACGGCGCTGCGGGTACTGGCGTTATGTGTGCAGAGTGGTCGGTTTTGTTTATTTGTTTCTTTCTTTCAAGATTCTGTGGAAAGTTGGAGTTGTGCAAGTATAATAATGAATGGATGTGAATTTTCAAGTAGTTAGGACACTGTCTCTCTCACTAGAATTCAACCAATTTTATGATGAAGGGAGACAAAAGGGTCCCATTCGACTAATGTAAATCCCGTTTTCCAAACAAGGAAATGACAATGGCGAGCAATAATCGCTTCTCTCATTCTCTTGACAATCACGCCTGCCCTAGCAAATCTTAGCAGAATCTCAAATAAGTAAGAATTGAAGGTGACCGTCTGCGTGAATTCAATTTGCCTGTTCCTTAATGACAATACTAGAGATTGCAGAGCCCGAGCTAGCAAGAAACTTTTCAAGTTGCAACAAACGACTATTGAAACTGCCCCGGGAGAGATCAATTTTCTGCACAACTGCACATCGATCAAGCATAGAATACGATATGCGCAATGGCATCTTCAAGTAGCAATCGCGAGGCCTCTGTCTTTACGCTTGCTAGCGACTATCTAAAATCCCCTGAAGAACTACCGTATGGAGTGTCCCTTCACTGCCAAACCACATTGCTTTCGGCCGGACTTGACTGACCTCAATCTTAGGAGCCTGTATGTGACGTTCATTGTTGGCACCAAAGATATCCAGCAACCCTTTAGGCTACAAAGAAGTGTCGTCTGCACCATCTCGCCGGTCCTGAACGAGATCTTCAAAGACTTTACAGAGATCTTGAGAATAGAAGACGTCGAGAAGGAAGTGTTTGAATATCTTTCTGTTGTGAGTGATGCTCGAGATCTCTCCACCTTCCTTTCAGGGTTCGTGTACTGACGTTCGGAAATCTGTAGTGGGTAACCACTGGACAACATCAAAGCGTTCACGATGAGTCCAGGAAGTTACTTGGCGGAAGAGCAGCTCCGGTTGGGTTTCCAGCTCCTGTGACCCTCGTGAAGGTTTGGAGATTGGGAGAGCGATTCCGAATCCCCGAGTTCCAGAACAATACGATGAGATTACTCTACGCGTAAGTGCTCTCTACGCGTAAGGACAACTGGGCCGAAGGCCCTGTTGCATCTTCCCAGTGTCTCAGGAGTATCATGCTTCTGAGACGGCCCCTAGACGCTCAGGAAAGGATTTTCGCGCTAATGTCTCAATGATCTAGTGTGTTAGATATAACAGCTTCGCAGAATACCATCATCAGTGTAGTCGAATTCGCTTGGCATGATAGAGAGCCCGACATGTTGAAGAGCTTGTTCGTTAACAAGTTTGCATACTGCTGTACGTCAGAAGAAGTCAAAAATTTCTGATGTTTGATTGGCCTCTAGGATTCTGAGAGCATCTATCATCCTTTCATCGATTTCTTTCAGAATAAGCCATGGCTAACTTCCCATGTCCTATAGGGTGGAGTGGATATGTTCGAGAATTGTTGCCTCACCTTCCATCAACCATGGTTTTTGCCATCGTCGACCAATTGAAACGTGGCGGTGAAGCAAAGAGAGATATTAGGGACTTGAGGAAAAGTGTTGAGGCATTCTTCGTGAAATAGGCTGGCTCGCTCAAGGGGAGTACACAGGAAGCTGGCTGGTCATCGCGAGAGGGGTAAGTAAGGTTGGACAGGAAAGAAAGTCGATGGGCATAGTAGAATTAATTTCCCTGCTCGGCATCATTGTTAGGCTCTATAAGAGCTTGAATGAAATATTCTTTCAAAATCTTATCAGTACTCCAGGAAGGGCTCTTATCCTGACCAGAATCCCACCATGAAACTGGCTGGTAGTCTTTCCTGAGATATGAGGAGCCTACAGGAATTTCTGTATAGCTACGTCGCAAGGAAAACGACTTATAATGGAGAGCAGGCATACGAACTCGTGGATACGACCGTTGGATGTAAGTGAGAGTTTTTAGAGAGATTCCGAATGCTACCTGCACTCATAGAAAAATTTTCTCTTGATTGAAATGCCTCGAGAATTATTGGCAAGATAGGCGAAGTGAAATCTTGACATCCCAGTCTGTCGGGCAACGTTGCATATGCCAAGATCCTTACTTGGAAGGCACGTATGACGAGATCAAGTCTTTCAACTTTCGTAGTAAATCACTGAGATACGACGATAATTAAATTCATGAGTTCACCGGTCATGGGATAGCAATGCGAAATAATGGATATGAGAATAAGATAAATCCGCTAGGTTCCAAAACGGTAAAACCCAGGCGGAGCATCCAGTCATTAGCTACACTGAAAGAAGCAAATATTCTCATGACTTTAGATTACAGTAAGGCATATTTCTCAGCCAGAAAGATAATGATAAGGGAATGGCAAGCCAAATGAAGTTATAAATGTGCCAAACTCTTGCTGCGGGTCTACGACTTTGCAGATACCAAGATAGACAAGATGCTTGGAGAGCTTCCACTGCCAAGACAGAAGTTTTGAAACCCTCAAAGCTTTTCATTAGAAGTCGGCTTAATCAACATTCTGGGGACATTCGTAGACTGTCTGTTGAGGCGGAGGAAGGTCATGAGGCCCAGGGAAGCACCTGCTCACCCAGATCACGGGTCGCGGCACTCTTTAAGTCATGGATATAAGGAAAAGCCCCCCAGACTCAGTCGTAGCATTACAACAACTGATATAAAGTGACTGATATAATATCAAATTAGATAATTCATTTGCGATGGGACGGATTCGGATCAGAAATATGTTCTGGACTTTGACGTCCCAATGTCCCCGATATTTGTGGGGCACACTAGTCAGCGTTCTCAGCCGCGTCCGCGTCTCCCAAAGTTACCTACCCAAATCCACAACCCCAGACCTCACATCAACATCAACAACGACGACCACCGCCACCACCACTACCTACGACACTCCCCTTCTCACAATGGCCGAACGAGAACTCCAAGACCTCCAGCGCAAGCTGAAATCGACCCGCTCCTACAAGGAGCAGCAGCCCCTCCTCTCTGCCGCGAAGCTCTCCCTCCTCAAGCTCAAAGCCCTCACTCCGCTGCCCACAACACCTAGCTCCGTCCTCGCCCTCGCGCGCGACGTCTTCGAGAGCGGCGCCCTGCTATCAATTCGCGCCAAGGACCCCGCGGCCTTCACCCGCTATGTGCACCAGCTGACGCCGTTCTACGAGCTGCCCGAAGAGCGGCTGCAGCCCAGCAGCGAGAAGAACAAGATCACCGGCTTGTACCTACTGCTGCTGCTCACGCAGGGCGACTATGCGGCCTTTCACACGGAGCTGGAGGGGCTGGAGTTGAGAGGGGGAATGGCTGGTGTGGATTGCGAACATGATCGCTTTCTGGGATACCCGATCAAGCTAGAGAGGTGGCTGCAGGAGGGCAGCTTCGACCTGGTGTGGAAGGCGATGGCTAGCAGAGAGGTACCCAGCGAGGAGTACGGTGTATTCAGCGAGGTAATTTCTCCATTCCTTCGCCTCTTCTCCTGCCCCTTTAAAAATAGTCCATCTCCCAGCATCAGAAAGAAATGCATGGGGGCATAGCGTTAACCTACCCCCCCACAGATCCTCACAACCCACATCCGCGACGAGATCGCCACCTGCAGCGAGACGGCCTACCCATCCCTCCCAATATCCTCGACCAAGAATCTTCTCTTCCTTGACAGCGAGGGCGCAGTCGTCGATTTCGCACACGGCCGGGGCTGGATTGTCAGGGACGGCCGCATCTTCTTTCCAAGTCAGAGCCTCAAAGGCGGTGTCGACGATCTGGGCAACGAAAAGGAGACCAGCCAGCTGGCCATCGAGAATACGCTGGGCTATGCAAGGGAGCTGGAGACGATTGTATGAGCGGGCGAGTGGCAGAAAAGAATACGGATTAATGGATGGCATCGCGGATTCTTCCTCAATCAGAAGAAGCATGATCTTGAGGGTTTAGAGCACAGCATAGGAATGGTCGGGCATGGAGAATAAGAGATCAGCTGATATGATATCAAGCTTGTATTCTAGATACGCTTACGCGTAACAATTGCAGACTTGATCCCACAATGAATGGACTGCATATAGTATGGTTCCGCTTGCTTTCAACTACTTACTTACGTACCAAGCCCTCTGACCAGCAAGAGACTTCTAAAAAAAAAGTCAATTGCTCCCTACATACATGCAACAAGTTTCAAGTAGTCTAGTAGAGATGACTACGATCTACTTTTTCCGAACTCCTTTTTTGGGGTGGCCCTGGCTTCCAAAAATTCGACCTCTCATGCAATGAGCTTCAACCCACTGCCGTTCTTTCCAATCTCGCAGACACCGCATACCGCGCAAATCGTCCCCTTATACTTAGTCTGGTACTTGCTTCCGTCGAAGGCGCACACCTCGAACGATGAGCCGCCGTAGATGGGTGTGTAGGAGGCGGCACAGACTTCAAAGTCGGCGAACTGATCAAACTCAATCTCCACAGCATCATTAGGGTTCCTTTCGCAGTTGGCTTTGATCTTTTTGGCCTACAAGCTGTCAATAGGGAGTCTTATACCAAGAAACGAGGTAACTCACGTTCTCGAGCATCTTCACTGGCGCAGGATTAGCCAGCATTCTATTCGCGAAGCTCAACGCCGAGTTGTAGTTCTTATTCGTGAAGGCCAACTTCATGGCACTGGTCAGAGCGAGGACTCTGTGATTGACCTCGAGTTTGGGAATGGTGAAATATGCGGAGAGTTCCAGACTACGCTTGAGCTTCTCAGGTGACTGTGAGACCTCGGCATCAGTGCCAAGGTTCCGTCGAGCTAACTCAATGCCCATGGCAACGGTGTACTCGCTTGCGGTGGTAATGAGTTTCTTAGCATCCTCAACCTCCGAGGCTGACGAGACTGCATTTACCAGGAGAGCATGGAGAATATTTTGGAAGATAGCCGCACCATCTTGCAGCTTGTTGGCTTTCATCGCGCTGTACCCATCCTGGAGGTCAACGGCGGCAAGCGTTTCAAGATCTCGAGGAATTATGGGAAGGACGTTTCGGGGGTCAGTCTCGTCGACGTTACGACGGACGTAGTTGATTAGAGGAGGCAGGCCACTCGACGCGGGAAGGTATGTCTTCGAAGCCGAGTAGACTTCCAGAAACCGCGGCTTAAGAGGGGCGAAGTTGACCGCACCGAGTTGTCTGTTCAACAATTGCATAGCGGTCTCGAATGAGCCGGCAGCCACATGATCCGCGGCGATCGGAGAGTTGCGAGCCCACAGGTCTGCTTCACTGCTCCCCGCACCACCTGTCTCAGCACTGTCGACATTGACAAAGTCACTCTCGACTTCTGGGACTATGTCATCACCCATATCCCATCCTCCTGCGTCCTCGTCGTCATCGACCTCATCAAGAGCCCCATTTCGCTTGGCAACTTCATCGCCAGCGTCATCAAAGCCGAAGCCATTCGATGCGACTGCTGGCTCGTCTTCTAATGATAAGCCTTCGACTTCGCCGAGAAGTGCCTTCTCGAAAAACGATTGAGATGTTGCCTTCGTTGGCCAGTTGGCCTTGAAAGTGGAGACAATTGGTTTTGGGGGAGAGAGTGGTGAGCCAATTGCGGGGAGAGTGATCTCATCTTCTGTAAGGCCAGTAGCTTCGAGGATGGATTGGCATTCGTCCTCGAGACCATGAGCTTTGGCAGTCATGTACGCGAGTGGATCTGGAAATGTTAGTAAATGTAACAGGACTGTGCGCTCAATGCAAGCACTTACAAAGGTCAATTTCCTTGAACATAGCTATCCGGTCGTTGACATCTCCAAGGTACAAGGCATTTTGGAATCGGGCTGTGAAATCGCCACGATGTTCCGCAATCTTAGCCATTCGAGTGAGTTTGGCTTCATCTCCAGTAGCGAGATACAGGAACGAGAGCTTATCGAATTGTCTCAGCTTCTGGTAGGTCATCTCGACAATCTGATGATTGCCATGTGCGAGAGCCTCCGTAGTCAGTCTTGACCAGAGCTTGGGTCTGTCCAATTGCTTTGCCATCTCAACTGCAACATCGAGATTACCACACTCAATCGCAAGCTCGAACCGTGTTTGTGGGTCCTGAACAAACTGCAAAGCGATTTCGGGGTATCCCTTCTTCTGCAAGTACGAAATGATGCTTTGACCGACAAGACTTGAGTTCTTGATGATCTGGAGCATTTCCTCGTAGTTTCGCTTGACGAGCGCAAGCTTGAATCGGTATTCCGTGGGATCAATGTTCAAGATCTTGGGCTTGGCGTTCCTGTCCAGGCAGTAGACGGTTCGCGCCTTCACTCGGACAAGGTACACAGTTTGGTCAAGAGTGCGTACAATGCCATTGTCACCATTGAGCAATGTGTATTTGATATGGTTAAGGGTAGAGTAGAGAAGAACACCAGCATCGTCCCAGGTTGCGCTCTTGATTCGGATGGTCTCGTGGAGTGTGCTGACTTGTTCCAAAGTCTTGGTCACGATTGTGACATTGTGTTTGCTGAGAAGCGCAGCATACAGCCCATCGTTAGACCAAACGACGTACTTGACGCCACTGACAGCCAGTTCCGCTGTTGACTTCTTTTGTTGGACGTCATAGAGGTGGACGGCGGTGGGAGTAATTAGGAGGATATTACCAGTTCCTCCGAAGTAGATGTCCGTGGTTCCAGTGGGAGGCTTGATAGTCTTGGTAGTCGAATTTGAGAGGTCCTTGATGTCGATTTGCTGGTTGGCAGCAGTGAAAACAGCAAATCTATTACGAGCGATAAATACAGCTGAATTTCCTTGACCTCGCTTGGTGTCAGTGGTATCCCCGGAACCGTCTCGGGGTAGGTTGATCAGTTCGTAAGAACCTCCGTCCGCCGGAGAAGTGACAAGGATAGCTCTCTCCGCTGGATTGAATGACAAGGATCGGGGTGGGACCCATGGGCTGCCAAGCTTCTTCAAGGTCAACAGCGTTGGGCTCTCAATATTCTTTTGGAAGTCGTAAGAGCGAACCTGCTTATCCTTCGTAATGAAGAATAAGTTGTTCTGGTAGAAGGCCGAGGCTGGTCTCTCTCGCTCAAGCTTGAAAACCATAACTCCGTTGTCGTGACCAGCTGCGAAAAGGTTGATTTCTGGATGAGCGGCAATAACCCAGAATCTATCGTTCTCCCGCTTGAACGACTGTACAGAAGTCCGCTTGTTGAGATCCCAAACTCGAACCGTCTTGTCTTCGCCCACTGACAATATCAGATCCTGGTGGGGGTGGAACAAGCATCCTGATGCATTCTGGAAATGACCTCTGCAAGTGTCGACCTCCCATGCCTTCGTTTCGCTCATTCTCCATAGCTTTACCAATCGATCATCGCCCGCCGAAACAATCAAGGGAAGTGTAGGATGGAAAGCGACCCAGTTCACACCTCTGTCGTGTCCCTCTAGTACGAATTTGACCACAGCATCTGTGTTTCCGAACATGTCTGCCTGGTTTTGGTTTCCCCTCGACATTTGATCCTCGAATGTCATAGATGTTGGCGCCGAGTGCTTTTTCCGCAGACCAGAGATATCCCATACACGCACTGACTGATCGAGGGAGGCCGAAACTACCAGGTCGTCCTTAGGGTGGAACTGGGCGCACATCGTGTAGTGGTTATGGCCAGTCATTGTGCAAACTTAGAAGCCTAATCAGTAGGCTTCCATATAGGGCATTCAAGCAGACTTACTTAATGATCTGTTCTGCCAATTCCAAATCCTGATTGTCTGATCATCAGAGCTGGAAATGATCCAGGGAAGCTCATGATGGAAGAAGACAGTGCGAACGTAGTCCAAATGGCCGTTTAGGGTGAAGAGACACCTGCGAGTCTGATACGACCAGACCTTGATCTTGTAATCATCCCCACCAGAAACGAAGAGAGGTTGTGTCTTGTGAAAGTCAATTCCTCGTACCGGGCCATCGTGCTCTTCAAAGCGATCAATCAGCGTTCCCATACGGTAGTCCCATAGCTGGATGGTCGAAGAATGTAAGGAGACAAGAATCCACGGTCTGGGTCCGATTAGCTACGAGTGTGCGCAAGATGCTGTGGCTGCGGGGCGCACCTTTTGGGATGGAAAGCAATGCCTTTCGCTCTCGAGGACTTGGACTCGAACTGGGCTGCTGTTAGCAACTGTATTCGCATATGCCCGTTCTACCCTAGAGTTCCCCATCCTATATCAATCCACACATACCTTTGTGAGCATATTAGGGGAGGAAGTGGTTGCCATCTTGACCGACGCTGCGAGGACCGTGGAAACCTAGGCCTCTGGCATGAAGAACAGCAGATGGTGAAGAGTTCAATGCAGACAGACACGTATCCAGCAGCAGTATTCAGATGTTCAGAGTGATAGTATCGAAGGCGGAGACAGGAACGGAGGTAGAGAGAGAAGGAGATGGAGACATCCGAAATGTGTGATGCGGGAAGCTGCGACTTGCGACTTGTTCACAATTCTTGACGCCTGAGGCAGAAGCGACCGAGCCCTTTCAGTCCTCAAGCCCCCTGCGCTTCAACTCAAAGCTCTCCACTACTAAGCTCTTTAGCGCGACGTCAGCTCCGGCAAGGTGGCATCAACCGCCAATGTCAACAATACAGACCAATTCCTCAGCCTCGTCTGTTGATTTCCATTTGTTCTGTTGATAGAATAGAAGACGATGCCGAGATAAATTCTGCCTTGGCCGTAAATCCGTACCTCTCTTCCCACTGGCGGACTGCATTACACTACAATACAATACATTACAAAATACATCCTCGTCTGAAGTCAGGACACAGCCCATTCCACAAGACCGGAACATCTGTCCAAGAGGCTACGAACAGCTTGACAACCCCCTCAAAATCCAGAAGATGGGATTTTTCACTATGCCATGGGGCCTGACTGGAGCTCTATTGGCAACGACATACCTTCATTCCCTATGCGGCGTGTCTGCGGGCCCATCCATTAATGTCGGAATGAAAGCCTCGTTTTCCGCTGCGCCATATCTTCTAGAGCTCCTGTACCTACTCCTAAATCTGCTTAACTCAGACACATAAAGCTAATTGGATGTAGAGAAACTGCGGGAAACGAGAACGCCACATCCTATTTCCCCCTCCTTGACCGAATCGCGGATGGCTACTTTACCAAAACCTCAACGGACAAAGAACTGTTCGAGAAATTCGTTCAAGTTCTGAAGGATGACGGGCATATGCTGCAGCCCGAGTCTCTATCTTCCTGGCAGTTTGCTCTGTCTATGCGGGCCTCAGCGCCTCGAATCGAGGCACATTACCAGTACTACCACACGGCAGCCGAGCCATCATTGAAGGGGGAGCAAGATACCTCCTGCTCGGTCTGGGTGCTGTTCAATGGAAAGCAATATTGTTCACCAGCACTTGATGCAGCCCATGGCGACATTGGTGGAGACTCGTAAGCCTGTCATCCCCAATTTGATTAAAATCGCTGACTTGATGGCTGCAGGCAAGTTCAGGAGTTGCAGTTCGACCGAGTGTTAGGCAATTCTTCAGCACCTGCTTCCATCCTTTACGCCGATATCACTTCTCCTACTTTTGGGCGGTTCCACAAGACCCTGGTGAAGACTGCTCGTGAAGGAAAGACCTCGTATCGTATTCGGCACAGAAAGTCACTAACAGCCGAAAACAAACCCCTTATTATTCCTGGATACGGTGTGGAGCTTGCCCTCAAGCGGACTGACTACATTGTGATTGACGACCGCGATGAAAACGAGAGCAAGACTGCAAGCGCAGCGCCAGAGAAAGAAGTCAGGTTTGAGGACGAGGAATTGGCAGATCTAAAGCCGCTATCAGCATCGGAACTGTACTCGCTTGGTTTAAAGGCTTCGAGCTTCATCTTACAAAGCGGGAATCCTCTCGATTCGCTTGTAAAATTGTCCCAGGATTTCCCCAAGTATTCGAGCGCCATCTCCTCTCACGATGTCTCCAAGGAATTTGCTGCCGAGCACCACTACAACCGTGGCCAGTTGGTACCTGCGGGAAACAATATGGTGTGGATGAATGGAGTTCGGCTGATCGATCGGCAAATTGAAGCCTTGGACCTGCTAGACATTTTCCGAAAAGAGCGTAAGCTTATCAATGGACTCAGGGAGCTGGGCCTCACTGGCACTCAAGCCATTCAGCTACTTTCGCACTCGGAGATAGCCACTGTTAAGGCTGAAAATTCACCCCCAAGATTTGACTGGAGAGATGATATTGAAGGAGGAAACGCCATCATCTGGATGAACGACCTCGAAAAGGACAAGCGATACGCCGGATGGTCACCCTCACTGAAAACAGTAAGTCTTTGAGACTTCTTCACGAGTCCAATGCTAACCTCACAGTTTCTCCATCGAGTATATCCTGGTCAACTGCCTCAATGTCGACGAGATTGTTTTAATGCAATTTTTCCAGTTAATTTTACCAATCCCCAAGACGTTCTCCTGGTGGCAGACAACTTACTGAATTACGTGAAGAGAAAAGTTTCAGTACGATTTGGAATCGTGCCCCTTACAAGCACCCCTGATTCTCTGGCGCACGCCAAAGTGATGTACCACTTGCTGGATACCTATGGACTCTCAGCTGCCATGGCATATCTCGAAGCTGCGTATACGTCTCAGAAGATCTTGGCACCAAGTGCTGCACACTTTCAGACTGCGATTGGGGAAAGGACGGCCCGCAACGATAAAAAGGCCTTAACTCTCGAGGAAGTGCTTCACCCAGAAAGCTACCAAACCCAAATCGAAGCAGCCCGGCAATGGGTGCGACGACTTGCTGCAGATAGTAAGATTCCAACGATGTTTATCGATGGTGTCGCTATTCCCAGAGACGAAAACTGGCTTCAGGCGATGAGCCAGAAAGTTACCACTGATCTTCAACTCATTCAACAAGCCATCTTCACCGAGATCCTCGATGAAGAAAGCTGGCTCCCTGGGCACTTTCTCCTTCAGGCTTCAACACGTCGAAATTCACTCGTTGTTCCCGAGGACGAGAAGACATTGAAGATTTTTGACGTCAACAAGCTAGTGGGAGAGAACCAAGAGATCCTGAACAATTTGCCTCGCATCGAGGCAGATGTCACAGCCGCAAAGGCGGACTGGGCTCACATGATTTTGGTTGTTGACCTAGAGTCCGAGGCTGGCGAGAAACTTCTTGCAACAGCGGCAGTCTTCCGCGAAGCCAACCCATCCGTCGAGCTAGTTATTGTGCATAATCCGGCCTCAGACATAATCGATTCCGGTCTTAGCTCTGACTTCTACCAATTTATGCTGAACAACGATAATAAAGCGTTCTCAAGCATCAACGATCTCACAGCTGTCTTGTCAGCCGAACTGGCCGCTCCAGGGCAGGAGATTCAGCAGCATGCATTAGAGTACTGGCGTGGAGGTGATGCCATAGTCAAGTTTCTTGGGCTTCTCCCAGGTCAGAATGCAGTGCTTTTGAATGGCAGACTGGTGGGTCCCATCCCTGCGGACTCGGATCTCGATGAAGGAGACTTGGACCAGCTTCTTTCATATGAGCGATCGAAGCGCATTACTCCAGCCAATGCTGCTCTTGAAGCCCTTGGGCTGCTGGATAATATAGCAAATCCTTTGGCAGCTGCCAAGATCTCGTCAATCGTAGCTATTTCGACTATTTCTGACACTCCGGATGGAATATTCGAGGAAACTTCTACTCTTCGAATGAGCCAATTTCACGTTTGGAATTCTACGTACACTGCAATCGAGACTGGTGATGCGTTGACTGCAAGCATCCACCTCACAGTCCTCCTCGATCCCGCAAGCCAACTTGGTCAGAAGTGGGTTCCTCTTCTCAAGGTGCTCTCGGAACTTGACGGGGTATATATGAAGTTATTCCTAAACCCTAAAGAGCGCTTGGAAGAGCTACCTGTCAAGCGTTTCTACAGATACGTTCTGGAATCCAAGCCAACATTCGACGAGGTTGGCGCTCTGAAACCTCTCAGTGCAACTTTCACAGGTGTTCCACAAGAGGCACTGTTAAATCTTGGCATGGACATTCCTCCAGCCTGGCTTGTGGCTCCCAAAGTCTCCGTCTACGATCCGGACAATATCAAGCTCAGCTCTATCAAAACAGATGTGGAAGCTCTATATGAGCTCGAGAACATTCTTATTGAGGGGCATTCTCGCGAAATTCCTGGCGGAGCTGCTCCGAGAGGGGTTCAGCTCACGCTTGGTACGGAGAGAAACCCCCACACCGCAGACACAATCATCATGTCTAACTTAGGATACTTCCAATTCAAGACAAACCCAGGCTACTACAGGATTGATCTGCTCGAAGGTAGAAGCGCCGAAATCTTCAACATTGATAGTGTCGGATCGAAGGGCTGGAGCCCAACTGCAGGTGATGAGAACACCGAAGTTGTCCTGATGAGCTTCAAGGGTGCAACCCTCTACCCACGGATATCCCGCAAGCCGGGTATGGACAGCGAAGATGTTCTCGAAACCAAAGCCGACTCGAAGATGGACCTAGTCTCCCGCGGGCTGAATTTCGCCCAGAGTATTCTAGGCAAAGGCAAGGGCGCCGTCGAGAAGCAAGCACAAGCAGACATCAACATCTTCTCTGTCGCTAGTGGCCACCTCTACGAGCGTATGCTTAACATCATGATGGTCAGTGTTATGAAGCACACCAAGCACACCGTCAAGTTCTGGTTTATCGAGCAATTCCTCTCCCCCTCTTTCAAAGACTTTATTCCGTACCTCGCCGCCGAGTACGGCTTCCAATATGAGATGGTTACCTACAAGTGGCCTCACTGGCTTCGCGGGCAGACTGAGAAGCAGCGCGAGATCTGGGGCTACAAGATTCTATTTCTGGACGTTCTGTTCCCGCTCTCCCTAGACAAGGTTATTTTCGTCGATGCAGACCAAATTGTCCGCACCGATATGATGGAGCTCGTGAACCACGATCTCAAGGGCGCACCGTATGGCTTCACACCGATGTGCGACTCTCGCGTTGAGATGGAAGGATTCCGCTTCTGGAAACAGGGGTACTGGGAGAAATTCCTCCGCGGCCTTCCATACCATATCTCAGCCCTCTACGTCGTCGACCTGCACCGTTTCCGTCAGATTGCAGCCGGAGACCGCCTTCGTCAACAGTATCACCAGCTATCAGCTGACCCGAACAGTTTATCCAATCTAGACCAGGATCTGCCAAATCACATGCAATCGATCCTCCCGATCCATAGTCTCCCGCAGGAGTGGCTGTGGTGCGAGACATGGTGCAGCGACGAGAGTCTGAAAGACGCAAAGACGATTGATCTGTGCAACAACCCACAGACCAAGGAGCCGAAGCTCGATCGCGCGAGGAGGCAGGTGCCGGAATGGACTGTGTACGATGATGAGATTGCGGCGGTGGATCGTAAGCGCAAGGGCTTGCCGCCGATAAGTAGTGAGGCGCCGAAGGTGGCGGGAGAAAGGAATACGAAGAGTAAAACTCTGGAGGTGGCGAGTCCGACAGCAAGTAAGAAGGATGAGCTATAAATTCGAGGGTGGGATGAAATTTGTATAGTACAGGGAGAATGAACTCATAGAATCGAATGTCACGGGATATTTTGCGGCTGCTTGCTCTGGAACGCTGCAAACACCGCTTCCTCTTGCCCCTTCCCCGCTGTTTCAAAGTCTGCTACTGCTGTATATGACATTCTTATTTGGAGGTGGGAAGGTTTATCAAGAAGCTGTTGGAATTTATAGTTTTAATCTGTGAATATATATATACACCCGAGGACAGTAAGCGCCCCCGCCCCTCCCCCTCCCCACAAAAGAACAACAAAACTCTGGATCAGTGCCAGTGTCCTGCAGCTCTTCAGGATACATCAAGCTCCAGGCTTGTTTGCTCATAAGCTTGGTAAGAGCCGTATGAGCAGTGCTGGGGATGTAAGAGACGATACAGCAGACGGGCGAAACCTAAGATATCGCAGCATATATCGACTGGGCGACGCCTTTGTTTACTTCTTACATTGGCTTTTTAAAGGTTTAGAAATATATAAGTTTTTATGGTGCATGTAGTGCACTAATAAGCTAGGAGGGGATTCCGATGATTGAATGAAGCTTGTAGAATTCTATCTGGGAGACTGACACACAAAGAGATGGAGATCTCATTGCACTAATAAGCGAGGTCACATGAGCTGAGGCTTGGGTGGAACGAAGCTGAGGCGTGGCTGTTCCGCACAACAACTGTGGTATTGTGTTAACTGGACCTTGGAAGGACTTGGTCAGGAACTTGGACTTGGACGTGGATCTGGGTATCTTTGTTTGGTATTTCGATGCTTGATGCTTGTGAAAAGGAACGGGTGAAGCAGCATAGTGACAGTGTTTGACGGTATGCTTCCTAACTACCTTGGACCTCTAAAGAAGCAGGTGTTGATTAAGCTTGGTTGGTAAGAATATAATCTTAAAGGCAGGCCATTTTAGAACAGTTATTGAAGGGAAGAAAAATGGGTTTCTCGATGGGTAGCTCAGTTAAGACTAGAAAAATAAGCTTTTCAACCCTTTTCGGTCGGATATTTTACTTTTTTTGATATCCCTCCTAAAGAATATATATATGCAAATTCAAAAGTTTTCAATATGAATGCAAGCGTTAAAAAGCTTCTGATAGCCAGGAATAGTGTGAATATTATTAACAGTAAGGTTTTTTTTATTCTCTTTTTTGGGTGGGGGGAGGGGGGGGTAGCTTGCGATAGCTTTTGCTAATATTGTATTTGATAGCTTGGCTAACTGCGTCCCAAACAAAGTGAACCCCAAACTAAAAGGTAATTACCATGCATGGTTTACTACACTTATTTACCTTTTTGATTTATGTTCTGACTTATTTAAGGAATTTCCAATGAATTCTCGTGATAGAATGTCGGTCTATACGTATAGGTCTCCATCGTAAACAATTAATAAACAAGTTCGCTTAACTAGCCAATCATGTGTGCACGTCGCGCCGGCATATTAACGGGATTTCTTGCTTTGACTACGCCTGATGAATCCCATTTATTGATTCCTTCCAATCACGGCGCTAGTTGAAGTCACGCTATTACTATCGAGTCGCAATAATTGACCCCCCTTCGATCTCCAACATCCCCTTCCTTTCTCACGCAACATCACAACAGCAACATCACAACAAGAAATCTTATCTCACAACAAATGCTCCTTTAATATCGTGAACCTCAACCACTTCTTTACTTACAGCATTACGCTTGCAAATTACAATTGCTTCTTTGCTGTACGCAAACCTCGATCTCAGCCTCGATTTGTATCAAGTTGAAACTTGCAACTGGAGCTTGCCTTTCTCACACCAAGACGCGACTGATATTACGACCCGACTTCACATCGAAATATTGTACAGCCGAAATTGTAAGTCAAGATCCTCTAGGAAAAGCTCTTGTGTAAAATGTCTTTTCTTTTGCTCGAAGCGACTCTTCCATTACTCAAGTTCCACTCGTCAGCAAAGGGGCACCTGCTCGTTATGGATCTGACACAGATCCTGCGGTGCTCTAGCATACGCTATCCTTGTCTCTGCCTCTATTCATATGTTATTTGCCCTTATAATTTGACACGAAGAACATAGACCACTGAGCTCTAGGCTGATATATCCTATACAGGACTTCACATGTCGAGCGCGACTGGATTCACCAATCACCCCGGAACTATGGCCTCAAACTCCTCTACTTCTCTCCCTGGCTTTCCTTTTAAGAGCCCGTACGATAAAACTTCTGAATCAAATGCTTCCACACCAATTCCTCTTCCTGATAATGTCGCTACCAATATCAAAGCTTCCCGCACTTCATCCACTGAACTCACCGATCACGGCCCTCTGCGCTATAGCAGAACTAATTCGGTCAACACTATCGTTAACGTGGATTTCGATGTAAAATTTAGCAACGTCTCATCCCCGCCAGAGGTCGACGGTCCAGATATAGCGATTTCAACATGGGAGGCTCCAGGTAATGATCGTATCTTCCCTCACTTCAGTCATGGCTGTCCTAATAAGGAGGCACATGAGCTAGGCACCTTCTGCGAGGAGTGCCGCGGAATCGGTATGCCATGGGGAGCAGAGCTTCCGGTCTACCACACCGAAGATAACCTCGCCCTTCTTCATGGTCCACCAGGTACTCTTGTGGATCACGTTCTTCTGGCCGATGAGGAAGCTGTCGCTGTTTTGTCGATCGTAGCTTCGATGGATGTTCGCGGTCGTCTCTACAGCAAGGTCGATGGCCTTCCCAAGCTCATGCGCCGCTTCCCTGAGTCGGTCTATGCTGGCCAGAACATTGCAGATCTCCACCGATCACTTCTCCGAGTTACCGGTCCCGAGCACGAGCTTATTGAAGCCCATATGATTGTCGAGGAAACCCTGAGAGATCCCCACCTCACTTGGGAGACCCTTGGTAACAGAATCTATAATCACATGCTTTCCGTCGCTCCTGTTCTCCATTACGGGCTTTCCGCCGAGGAGATTGCCGCTCCACTTATCTATGAAGAGAGGAAGATTCCGAAGTCGAAAAATAGCAAGGGAATGTGGAAGGCTCCTCCAAAGACAGATGATGATTCGAAATGGGTGAGCTGAGCTTTTTTGTCCACGCAGCTTGAACCTAGACGGCCGCTTAATAGCATTCGCCTCTGTGAATTCGATGTACTGACCTGATCATAGGAGTTCTGTCCTGGTTCGGATACCAGTTTAATTATCGTCGGCAAGCCTGAGCCTCAGAAATTCTTCCTCATCCGTCAGAAGAAGAACAACCCAAATATCAAGGACTGCCGTCAATACCCTGGCTGGGAGACCTTCGACTGGTAAATTTTGACCCAGCCCGTGAAGACAACTTGCGATAAGAACGCTTCATGAAGATGTTACTAATTATCTTTCCAGGAATGACCCAGATCTCGTGGAGTTAATGAACAAGGCCCGCCGCCAGATCCTTCATCGAACCACAGGTGGTACTTATCCTAAGGCTCTTATCTGGACCCAAGCAGAGAAAGACGTCCTCAAGGGTCTTATCAAGGTCGTTCTCGACAGCGGTGTCGCTCCTAAAGATATCAAGTGGGATCCGATTGCAGAGGGCCTGTTCAAGCACTTCGAGGGCAAGATCCAACCTAAAGGCTCACCATTCGCCCAAAATCAACACCTCAACAAGGATGGCAGCATCGAACCACCCCGCCTCAAGTTCGCCAAAAAGCTCAGGCAGGACCGAGAGGGCTGTCCGAACAGAAAAGGACAGACTGTCAAGACACAGGCACATAAGTATGGTGACATTGCGCTGATGCTGAGAATGGCGGCGCCTAAGAACCAGCAGCAAGCTTCGGATTCAGATTCGGACGACTTGGACGACTCAGATGATGAGCAGCCTAATGGAGCTACCAGCAGCAAGATCAACAGGGCGAAGAAGAATACTGCGAAGTCAGCCACAGCGATTACGAAGGTTACCAAGCAGGTCAAAAAGAAGACGGTTGTCAAGATGGAGGCCCATGAGCCTGATTCAGACATTGGGAAGATCGATGCGCCTTCGCCCCGTCTTCGCGGACTGAATAAGAGAGACCGATCTCCTGGCGGTGGCGCTAGTGATCCTGATGTGTCTGGGACTCCTCGATACTCCAAGCTGATTCGAACTGAACGTCACTGAAATGCAAGATCTTGGGGGTATTTATCGGCGGGGGATCAAGTCTAGAGGTTTCTGGGCAAACGATGGCGCATTTGGGATTCCTCTCTTTAAAATTAGCACAATTTCTGGGACGTCGGCTGCAGATTGATATTGGTCTCCTGCGTAATTCGAGGCTGGTTTCTTGTCTCCCTACATTTCGCTTTGGGATATTTATGCAGTATACGACAGTATCGATGACAAAGTGTTGCTAGGTAAAGTGGAAGGAGAGCAGGGTGCACGTGCCACCAAGTCGGTGCACAGACCTCAGGCCTTGGCGCTGGTTCCTACTACCGGTACAACCTCACCCCAATTCCTAGTCCTAGATAATACAAGTCAAATCAACCACAACCAACATCATCAGAAGCTTCCTCCTATGACCTAGTATTATCACTAGATAACTACTAGCGATACAAAGTCCCGCTATGGACAGGCCACGACGCTGACATCTTGGGTCTTGATCGAGAGATGCTGCAATGGAGAGATGCTGCAATGGATGGATGCTCATGTTGTT